CGAACAAACGAAATTAATTTATAGCTAAAAATAAATCCATTATAAATGATTGCAATCGCGATGACAGCGATCGCCTCGCGTACGAGGTAAAAGATTGATTCTACGGTGAACTATTTTCGAGCTTTCAATCAGCCGGAACTTTTACTTCCGATACGATTGTTTTCATACCGATATTACATGTTTATTTAATACCGATATTATTTGCTTCCCTTTTTATTATTTATTTCAAGCGAGAGCTTCGTATAGTTCAGTGCTTTGTATGTTCACAATTTTTGTTGTACAAACGTAAAAAGTACTGCAATAGTATCCTTTACACGCGTGACAAACCTGCGACGGCTATAGGACGGCTATTTAACATAATCTCATTGCTTAATCGCCGACGCGCGAACACGCGCGAGGAAACGATTATCCAAAAACTAACACGCCGGCGGCGACTGCACGCAGAAGAATTGTTCGAAAGATCGTTGCTTCGGCTACAATTAAGATGTAATTAGCGAAATACGATCTTCTGCTTTGTAACTAAATAATAACGGTTAATTAAGTATGCTAACTAACTGAGAGATGTTCTTCTGGCAACGTGGCGCAATTATATACGCGAAAGAATGCGACGAGCTCATGGCGCGAGGAAAATTTTTTGTCGGTTAATTATATTTCTAATTAAGGGTTGCGGCGTGCGTCCGTACGATCCAAGTTTACCGCACGTATGCACGGAGAGGTTCTTATACGTATTGCAGATAGACATCTCGAAAGAATTTGGTACGCATGCTTGTTAGATTACAGACGGTCCTAATTGTCTGGCTGTTGCCAGACCTTTCTCAATGCGAGCCCCTTCCACGTGGTCTCCCGCGCTAGCTTTAGGTACGATATTTCGTACGTTCATTCTGCGCAATCGTTTTCCACGATTGTTACAACCGGCTGCTCGTGATGTACAGGCTGAACAAAATCACTCGATCCCTTCGAATATTTTACTTGGTTTTTGGAACGATGGAAAGACGAACGTTATGACGAACGGGCAATTTTTTTCGAGATATCCGGATACGGTAAATTCTCCCTAATTGACCCTCGGCTTGGAAACGAAAATTGACAATTTGGGGAGCTATAATATAATATAATATAATATGATATAATATGATATAATATAATATAATATGATATAATATGATATAATATAATATCTGTCTCTTATACACATCTAGATGTGTATAAGAGACAGATATTATATTATATCATATTATATCATATTATATTATATTATATCATATTATATCATATTATATTATATTATATCATATTATATCATATTATATTATATTATATCATATTATATCATATTATATTATATTATATCATATTATATCATATTATATTATATTATATCATATTATATCATATTATATTATATTATATCATATTATATCATATTATATTATATTATATCATATTATATCATATTATATTATATTATATCATATTATATCATATTATATTATATTATATCATATTATATCATATTATATTATATTATATCATATTATATCATATTATATTATATTATATCATATTATATCATATTATATTATATTATATCATATTATATCATATTATATTATATTATATCATATTATATCATATTATATTATATTATATCATATTATATCATATTATATTATATTATATCATATTATATCATATTATATTATATTATATCATATTATATCATATTATATTATATTATATCATATTATATCATATTATATTATATTATATCATATTATATCATATTATATTATATTATATTATATTATATCTGTCTCTTATACACATCTAGATGTGTATAAGAGACAGATATAATATAATATAATATAATATAATATAATAATATAATATATAATAAACAATAAATATATAATAATATAATAAACTATTAAAAATCCCAAATTGTCCACTTTTGTGCGCAAGCTGATCAGGGAGAACTTACTGTACCAACGTAAAACGTGACTTCGATCTTTTTCGAGTCGAGAAAGTTTGTTCTTCCGCGAAGGAAGAGCATCGAGCTCGATTATTTAAGTTGCGTTAAAAGAAAAGAAACCGTTAAATGTTACAATTCGCACGGTCCTCGAAGAACGCGTACGCGTGATCGTCGAGTTGCTCAATGGCCAAGTTCTCGATAGATGTCCGATTAGCGGCCGACACGATTTTTTTTAAGGTGATATTTCAGCGGCGCGAGCCTTGCCTACGTTTGCTATGTTCAACGAGGGAAGCACAAGGTGGTCTTCAAGTAGGAAGCAGTTGTCGATGGGCGAAATGGGTCACGAGTCGTGACCTCCGCGTCTTTTGCACAACCTCGAGGGTCTCGCTTCTCCACTTAATTACCCCTACGTCCTCTGTGTATGCGACACGAATTTGAACACATCAAATGTAGACGTCGCGACGCGGCGCGACGCGACGCGACGAGACGCGGCAACCCCTCGCACAGTGGGGTCGCGCAGAAAAATTAGCTGTTCGCGCCTATTTTAGCATCGTTTCGAGACTTAAAAAAAAAGGAAACAACGTCGCATCGATCGTCGGACTCGTCTTGGCATCTGCTGCAACGCTATCGAATAAAAAATGTACAGCGATAAATAAATAATCAAGCTGATCTGGATTCCTTGTTAAAAGAAAGAAATTCTTCGAATTGCACTTCGTTGCACTTCGGTGTTTCAATGAACGAACAATTGTGGGTAACGAATAACTACCGAATTATAACAATAACTAAATCACATTATAACGATAACAAAAAATTATAACGATACTTTTATCTTACGATATATTTTATAGTCGATCTTTTTTCAATTATAAAAAATACTCCATCAACTTCAAACATTTCCATATTGTTAATTATTCGATTTCATAATATTCGTTATAGAAAATGATTCAATTCCTGTGATATCCACGAAGAAAAAGATCATCGATGTACGATGCTAAAAATAACTGATAACGTTTCCATTTCTAATAATAACGTGTGCGATTAGATAAACATTTTGTCACGTGGTACATTGTATTATAGCGGGGATAATACGAGTCGTCTTCAATCTAAATTTCCCGTTTTATGAAAACACGCATCCGACCGTATAGTGGCGCCACCGAGCGGAGGAACGGTGATACTAATCGACGAATAGCTTGGATCGTTTGCCGTGGATGGCGCTGCCGATGTCTTTTAACTAATAGAAAATTTATTACGAACGAGGTATAGGAGTAGACCGAACAGCATATGGTAATCCGTCTCGCGTGCTCTGAAATACCGACGTCGCTAAAAACGAGAGGTTTTCTCGCGCCCTCTGCCTAAATACAACGGTCACCCAGCGAATTACAGAAGACTGCAGCGCAGAAATTTCGTTTCTATTTTACAACGTTGTCGGCTCTAAAAATCAATACACAATGTTGCAACGTGAATTCTATTTTTTCCAGCTCGACGAATCGTCGAGGCTAAGTCTGGACACTATGTAGATGAAAATGCACTGAACACAGCGAAAGAGAATTCGCATTTTCGTGGCTACCACGCTTATAGTGCAAGGATATACCTTAGGAATATGGTATAAAAGCGCAAAATATGAGCAACTATAATCATTTGAAATAATGATAAAATAACATTTGAAACAGCATCTCAAATAACGTTATTTCAGAAGGGATCGCATGAAAATAACTATGAAATGAAAGAACATGTTATTTGAAATGATATTTCAAATGTGTCCAGGTCTGGAAAATATGAGAAACTATAATTATTTGAAATAATTATAAAATAACATTTGAAACAGCATCTCAAACAACGTTATTTCAGAAGGGATCACATGAAAATAACTATGAAATGAAAGAACATGTTATTTGAAATGATATTTCAAATGTGTCCAGGTCTGGAAAATATGAGAAACTATAATTATTTGAAATAATTATAAAATAACATTTGAAACAGCATCTCAAACAACGTTATTTCAGAAGGGATCACATGAAAATAACTATGAAATGAAAGAACATGTTATTTGAAATGATATTTCAAATGTGTCCAGATCTGAAAAAGATGCAGTTCGTCGAGAATTGAGAAAACTCGCTTTTTCGTGCTTGCTGGCAACCCCGCATATTATTCTATGCTACAGCTGCATGTGCAACACGCTTTGTTCACAGATCACCCTACCGAATCATTCTCGCTTTTCTAGGGTGCGCCTCCACTAGGCCCTAATGATTAGGGTGCAGCTCTTCGCACATGGCCTACCGGAAATAGCTCGTACCGAGTAGCAGCTTGGACGAAGCTGGTCGAAACGTTTGACGTTGCAGCCTCAAATCGGAAAACCTTCTCGTTTACGACAGAACCGAATACGTTCCTTTTTCTTATGGAAACAATAAAATCTTGAAAATGTCGGAGCAGCAGAAGCCACTGTCGTTTCAAAGATACAGTGTAAACGTGACTGAGGATGATCGAATTTTGGACTCGCTTATATGTATACGTATATGTATTTATCAAACGATCCCCGACGATGTGTTAACTCTTTAAATACATCTGCACGATGTCAACGTTATTTCATCGCGTGCCATTGGAAAAAAAGCCGGTCGAACAAGTTTTGTAATTCGTACAAAAGGTCAAGTGAAGAAGGCTGTAGCCGAAAATGAGAAAGGGGCCGCGTTTCGCTGAAATACTAAGATTTCTTTGTCTCCTGCAGGTATGCCCGATGCACGACAGGTGCACAGCGAGGGGAAAAACGATACCTGAACCGGCTGAAAAGTTTCCCTCGTGCAAGCCAAATACGTCGCGCTTAAAATAGCAGCCGATATTCGAAGTTTACACTTCGTGGAAAACTCTTTTGCTACGCGTATATCCCCTCGACGTTTTTAATTTCGAAGGGAAAAATAATCACGTTCGTGCAAGACTCGCTTCGTTTGCAAGGAATTAAACTATAATTTTTATGAATTTTTCCTCCGAAAAACTTGTTCCCTTCTCGAACGAATATTCTTTCAATGAAATTCAATCGTATCGTTTCTATGATCTTTTATTTATATCGCTTACAGTGTGTTCATATAGAATGCTAAAATGCTGAAATAATCTAGAACGGAGCGTGCTTTCTGTTCTCTCGCATGAGGTGCAAGGCTCGTAAGAATTCCCGATAGTTAATTTCTAAGCGATTACCTCTTTCGATGGAGAAACATTTGTGCACAACGTCCAACTCTTTGGGACTTATCAAGTGTAACATACGCCGGATGGAAAGGGCTTTAATCAAGCACTCTTTCGAAATTGTACCAATGTTTTCCTTGTCGAAGTCCTGCAACGAAAAAAATCATAATTATATATTATTAATTTTCAAGTTTAAGTAAGTATCTAATTCAATATCTGCCTAATATATAATATATGATATAATTATAATATAATTTTATATTATTAATTTTCATGTTTAAGTAAAAGTATCTAATTCAATATCTGCCTGCAATATTCTGCGCTACATACATATAGCAAACGTACAGTACGTGTACAAATATTTTTCATACTTGTACCGACCTTGAACAATTCTTCAAGATTCGGCTCCTGCATCATAGCCAACTTGCTGACCGCAGCCGTGGCCATATGTCTCTCCTCGAAGTTCAAAAAGGTTTTTCGAGAAGCTTCCGATGGGACATGTTGCACGGGCACCAAGAGAGGTGCTCGTTCTAGGCTTCCCATGGCAACAGCTTCCTCAACAGCATCCCCGAATTTCACATAATCGACGTAATTCGATCTTTAAAATCACAAACCCTTTAACAAATCGTATCTTCACGTTCGAATTGTCTCGATGTTATATTTTTGTAGATTGAGAAAAAAATATAATAAATATAAATAAAAATTAACAAAATAACAGCGGTTTCATCGCGGTTTGTACGTAGATTTTTAGATTGAGATGAGAATCGTTGTACCTTAAGGGTGATTTAAAAACGTCCGACAGCGTCTTTAGTTCTGTGCAAGTTAAATTACACCGTAATTGATCGATCCCTTGCGCAAACTGTGTCCTTCTTATAACAAGTTCATTGTGAGGATCGTATTGGCGCATGAATTCGGTAACCTTTGCACAACAAAAAGAAACATGCGTAACGTTAATAGAATTAAATAAAAGATAAAAAGTGCGCTCGCATTTAAAATTGTTTTGTAGCTCTGAACAAAATTTTTTTCTTATTTCCAGCCTTATAAAACAGAGTCCGAGAATTAGATTTTGCAAAAAGATCAACGATCCATCCGTAAAATTCTATCAAAACATATCGCGATTTTTCGTAACTTCGACATATGAATATACAAAGTTACTTTGATTCTTTCTCGCACAACTTTCGCTTTGATTTTAGCCAGGATTAGAACAATATTTGTTTCGTCCGCGTCGACTTCGGGTGGCGGCCTTTCGGCGTTCAGTCTCTTTTTCTCTTCCAGCACAGAATTGTACAGAGGTTCTTCGATCGGTTTCGCTTCGATCTCCTTCAACAACCATATATAATTGAATCCTAAATCATCGTTGTATCGTCGCTCCAACGCGAATTCCTCCTCTTGAGAAAGTAAAACCGCCGCGGTATTTAAAACTTGACGTAACTGGGACCGTGACACGTGGCCCTTATTGTTCCTAAGGGTAGTTAAAAAAAAGATAAGCTTCATTTCAAATTCTTAATTCGAAATTTTAATTTAAATAACAATAAATATGTAAATCAAGATCGTGATTTTAGGTGAAACACCCTATACATCGAAATTGGAAATTTGGCATTCTGGAGAAGTTTTTCGACAGTTGCCGGAGGGTGATAAATTTGGCTGAACAATTAGGAGTCAAAAGGGACGTTGTACGTCTCTTCTTCGGCAGACACTATATACAGGTAGAAAGTGAAACCGTAGTCACACCGTGACTGCACGTTAACGGTCAAACTGCGTCCCCTTGCATTATAGGGGAGAAGTCCCATCTTAACCGCATCGCCCTTCAACTTTGCGGGCCTGCTAAGCCTTGTCAAATCTTACTGCGACCCGCTACCTAGCTGGTAAATAGCTGTTAATCCATGCTGAAAAATCCGTGCTTAATATTAATCGGTCCAAGCTCGAAAATCCATATAAAACGACCAGAAAAATTATATGCTATATTTTAGAATTTAGAATTATATGCTATATTTTTCGATCTTCGAATCTATGGTGGATTCGGTCGTGAAATAAATTTGTCAACGTTTCTGGGGACTTTTCAGTTTCTCATCCTTTCTGTCGTGTAAAACCATCTTGGGACGAAACAAGCGACAGAAAAATCATTGCCGTCGTATTTTACAAAATTTGAAGGCCGTGCAAACGACAAGGACACTTTGGTGATGGAAGCATTAGATGACTCACTCCGTATATCTGAAACTTTCAAGCTAAGGTCGGATACGCCCGCATCTGTGGCGGGTCTGTCGAGAGGGAAGAATTTAGGAATTCAAGTTATGTTTGCGTGGGTTCTTGGAACTCTCCCCCGCGTGGGTCCACGGGTAGGCAACCTTGGAAGTTTCAGGGAGTAAAAATGGTACGCTTTCGTCCGCTCCCCGGGGACGGAGGTGTCTTTAGAAGATTTCCCCCGTGTTTAGAAAGAAAAAGGAACATTTAGGTCGTTTTAGAACTGCTGTGTTGCCTTACGGATAAGCCCACTAGAAAACCCAAGGCGAAGCGCTTTCTCTTCCTTTTTGTTCCTCCCCCTCTCTCTGCCTCTCTCTCCCTCTCTCTTTCTCTTTCCGCTACGATTCTGTCTGTGTCACAGTAAACCGCCATAATCCGATGCTATCGTTCCACGCTTTCACCTAAGGACTTCATACTTGTAAAATAGAAGTTACATTTGTAAGATATGCTTCCGACCTTAATGTTTAATTCTTGGACAATCTTTTTAAAAGATCTATACATGGTATTCTGATCCTAGTCTCGATAAGTTTTTTTACTTAACATTTGAAAAATGTCAATTTTTTAATCCTCGATAGGCGAATAGTTTCGGCTCGTAATAAAGCTTGCGTTGAAAACTGGTCTCTCATCGTTCGCGGGTTATTATACAGCTGATGTACATAATGCTGACTGTTATAACTCGCGCGCGCGCGCGCGCGCGCGCGTGTGTGTGTGTGTGTGTGTGTGTGTGTGTGTGTGTGTGTGTGTGTGTGTGTGTGTGTGTGTGTGTGTGTGTGTGTGTGTGTGTGTGTGTGTGTGTGTGTGTGTGTGTGTGTGTGTGTGTGTGTGTGTGTGTGTGTGTGTGTGTGTGTGTGTGTGTGTGTGTGTGTGTGTGTGTGTGTGTGTGTGTGTGTGTGTGTGTGTGTGTGTGTGTGTGTGTGTGTGTGTGTGTGTGTGTGTGTGTGTGTGTGTGTGTGTGTGTGTGTGTGTGTGTGTGTGTGTGTGTGTGTGTGTGTGTGTGTGTGTGTGTGTGTGTGTGTGTGTGTGTGTGTGTGTGTGTGTGTGTGTGTGTGTGTGTGTGTGTGTGTGTGTGTGTGTGTGTGTGTGTGTGTGTGTGTGTGTGTGTGTGTGTGTGTGTGTGTGTGTGTGTGTGTGTGTGTGTGTGTGTGTGTGTGTGTGTGTGTGTGTGTGTGTGTGTGTGTGTGTGTGTGTGTGTGTGTGTGTGTGTGTGTGTGTGTGTGTGTGTGTGTGTGTGTGTGTGTGTGTGTGTGTGTGTGTGTGTGTGTGTGTGTGTGTGTGTGTGTG